CTATATGCTACTACTATGATGTATAGCAGAAGACAAAGTTAAAGCCAAAACGTGAGTATGAACTGAAATAGACACCTGTGATTAATCTAATCTGCCACTGGATGTCACTATGGTTCCACAGAAATTCAGCTGAAAGAATATTTATCTAGAGTTGCGTGGCTGACTATTATGCAAACCATTAGAATGTAGTAAACTATGTCAAAATATCCAATTGTCTTTTCAGGAAAGTTATACAGTACATTTTTAAAATTACATTTTTATATCGGACTTCACTGGGTTACAGAGCCAGGAAACTGTGTCTGCCTCTCCCTTCCTTTATGACCTTTAGCCCAATGTTTAGAGCCCTTGCCTGGGTTCTGGGAGACCAAGGTTTGAATTCTTGCTCTGGAGCAGGCACTTAAACTCAGAGCTCCTCCCACCTAGGTAGGTGACCTAACCACCAGGTGAAAAGCTGTGCTGGGATGAGTTGCTCTCAGTCTCTATTTTGGAAACTGTCCCACTTCTTAGTATAAATACTTAAATATTCAGTGGAGCTCGGACTTGAACTGAGATCTCCCCTGTGCCAGGTGAGCATCCTAACTACCAGGCTATAATATAGGCTATTCTGCTCAGTCTCTCCTGTTGAAGCTGTTCCACATTGGAAAAAATACTTAAATGTTCACTGTGCCAGAGAGAGAGAGAGAGTATTATCAGGCTGTAGAGTCATTCAGTCACTTATCTAGGAGGTAGGAGATGTGGATTCAGATCACTTCTCTGAATCAGGCAAAGAAAAGATTTGAATCTAAATTCAAGACTTGCTCTGGACTGGGGATTCAAACCTGGGTATTCTACATCCCTGGCAAGTGTCTAACCACTGGGCTAAAGGTTGTAAAAAGGGGAGATATGTTCCCACTTTCTCTCTGTGACACTTTGCTGGCCTGAAATAGACTTTTCAAATTTGTGAGAAAATTCTAAACATTTTTGGAGCTGAACCAAATATTTTCCCCTGATTTTTCAGTTTGCTGGCTGAACTGAAAAATCAGTGATTCACCAGCTCTATTTAGGGTTTCTGGGGTGCTGATTTTGTGCTTGCTTCTGTTCATATCACTTTAAAAAAATATAAAATACAAATCCATTGCAAAACAAAAGAGAACAAAAAAAACAGTAGACAGGGGCCTGGCCTACACTAGGAAATTAGTTCGTATAGCTACGACTCAGGGGTGTGTGAAAAATCCACACTCCTAGAAACATAGTTATACCGACCTAACTCCTCATGTAGACAGTGCTAGCTCAATGGAAGAATTGGGGAAGTGGGCATTCCTATGCTGACAGGAGAATCCCTCTTGTTGGCATAAGTAGTGTCTATATTGAAGTAGTGCAGCTGTGCCCCCATAGCGTTTTAAGTGGAGACATACCCAGGGATATAGCACATTATATCTGGAATGAAGGGCCTCAGGTTCTGATCTGTGGCCAAGGAGCACTCTTTGGAGGAGGAATGGGAGAAGGCATCACTGGCTTCAAGCCACCTTGGCGCTCCCCTGTTTCTGGAGAGTCCTGACACTACTCAAGTCCAAGGTGTAAATTAAGGGTACCTGGAGATCACTGGCGCATAAAGGAATCCTATCCATACCCACTTCCTCCCGCCATGCCCATACACTGGCAATCTGGTGGGGTGGCATAAAAGGGACTATAGTTGCTGTACAACACCTGTTGATTCCTCTATATATAAGAGAAATCTTCCAGTGGTGCAGTTTAAGGTAGCTTTATGACAGAGTGGCACAAAGGTGCCCTAAGTAAGGAAAAATCTGGGCCAGAATTAGAGTTATTTGCTCATATTTGAGGAAGAATGAGAAGGGTCATATCATTCTGGAATCTTAAAAAACCTCCACCTGTTTTTCAGGAAAGGAGAGTCTTTTTAACCTGAACTTACTGTAGTTCAGTGGAATTTACCCTGTAGGACTGGAAATCAAAATGGTTAGGATTTGCGACACCAGGACTGTGCTGTATAGACAGCCAAAACAAGTGGTTTTAACACAGTTGTTAAATTGTTCAGCTAAATGGTAACATGGTTCAGTCAACCTAGGACTCTATGTAGATTCAAACATGGTATTTTTAATCTGTAGATAACATGGTTTGAGGCTAGATTAAACCATTTTATAACCCGTTGTCACCACAACTGGATTTAATAACCATTATTCAACTCAGACCTCTTAGCTGTTCAGTTGGGGATTGTTGGCATAGGCCTTTATGTTCTGCACAGTGAGCCAGCAGTTTCTTTATCAAATAACTGTAGTGATAATTACCCATCCATCTGTGTTTATCACTGAAAATATGTGAAAATGTAAATATAAACTATTAGGCATCTTTCATATAATAATTGAATAAATTGCCCTTGTAATCATGTCTGTACTTTAATATAAACGTTGAATTTTCATTATTATCTTAACCATCTACGCTGAAGAGTTTAGTAATAATGGTTTAGTAATAATAGTGGCTGGTATTTGAAGAGACTCCATAGTTGGTCTCAGTTTTGTGCCTGTATTTCTTTCACACCGACACACACCTAGATTTTAAAAAATGCAGTTTGTTTGTTTCTACATGTATTTTCCTCTGGAAGAGATTGTAGATTGTGTCCTCAGTGAAATATGATGTTGAATGAGTTAAAAATATTTTTTAAGGTTGACTTTAAAATGTGTCAAGTTTTTTTTAATGCCTCATTCTGACCATACATGAAGAAAATACTAAATAGAAAACAAAGTTACTTAGAACATATACTGAATATTTTTATATAGAAATGATCCTGGATTATTTGTATAAAATAGATTTTTCTAAGCATATGAATCACCCCCAAATAGCTTCCTTTATCCTTTCATTTTTTGGTAAATGTAGTTTTTTCTCTTTGGATGCATATAGTGTTAGTCACGATTTCAGGCACTGATGAAGCCAAAAAGTACAGTGATGCATTTTAATCTTGTATTTCTGGCAAACCCTAATCCTTCAGTTCAGTCATAGGCAAGGTTTGCTGGTAGAGAATGTAGTTCTTTAATGGACTTAGATGTGTTCATTTTACTGACATTTTATATAAATTTCAAAACTACAACTTGGGAAAATTACATTATGTTCAGCAGTACAGTTTAAAGTGCACCAAGCACCTGCATTATTAATCATGTTGGAATGTAAGACTCTTTGCACTCAGTAAATATATGGTACCAGAATTACATGGTACATGGTTCAGTATATTATGAATAATCCACTCTCTATTATTTTCTGTTTATAGACCTTAAAAAAGAAAATAGTTTTATTACAATAAAATGGGCTTAAGTGCATTAGTGCTGTTTAAATGATGCGTTCTGACCTTGTTTCATGGTATCTAGCATAGTTCAAGGTGATTTGTTTTGATTATTTTTCCCCAGTAAGCAAAGAATCTACAAGAACACCCTGTTAAAAGATTTTGCTTTTTCTAATCTGCTGCAGTGAAACTGCGCTGTAGAAACATTCCCTCCCAAGTGGTCAAAGACGTGCAATTTACTAAGCCAAATCAAGTTACAAAATAGAGATAATGAAATTACTGATTAGCTTCTTTAATGATGCTGTTCTATTTGAAAAATGAGAAAGAAGAGAGTTTAAAAGATCCTTTGTCTAATATGTGAGGGTTATAACTTATTATAATATATGGGTGATGGTATATTTTGCAATCAATACAATTTTGTCAATGACTTTGAGGGGGAGGGACAGTGATCCAGATTACAAATAGCCATCTGGGTTTGTCCAGTAACATACTGATGAATGACTTCACATTAAAAATGAATATCTATGAATTCTTGTAATGTTAGCAGGATTATGATAAAAATCATTTGTCATTTTTTTAAAGATCATTTGGATGCATTCTTCCTCTGGTTAGAGAATAACCAGTTTTTACTGTAAGCTCTTTCCAGTTGCTGTGGTGTTTCTAAAATGTACCCTGATTGGCTTTCTAAATACTTGAAGCTTCATTTAGCTATAACATGGGTGGTGTGCAAAGCACATCCAGATACTCTAACGAGCACAGACCACAAATAAAAAAATGAAGAAAATGACAGATTTAATGGTTTGATTAACCACATTAATGTCTTTGACAGTCTTGAAAAGAGAATTTCTAATGAGCACCCAAACAAATGTGTGCAGGAAGTGGTCTTGCATTTGCTACTGCACATTTGTGTTCCTCTAATTACATCAATAAGGAATTTCTGCGCCTGGTTTAATGAATGCCTTTTGACTACTTTCTGAAAGGCAACTGGATGTAAGAAGGGATAAACACTGGCACCTTTTGTATGAAGCCACATGAACAGGTTTCAATTAGTAGTTATCAGCTCTAGAAACTCTGTATTTTCATACAGTACAGTAAACTGCATTCTACATTTTTTTCTGTTTTCTTTATTAAGCCTGTATTTTTCTCTCGCCTTAGCTTTCTGTGACACACACTGATCTCCTGAAACTTTTACTTAGCACTGGCTTATTTGATCATGCCTTACATTGCACAAAAATCAGGCATTCTTTCAGGGCTGTTCCTGCACCATCTCTAAGCTCAAGCAACTCGTAGAATTTATATGAAGCTATAGTACCTGGCTCATTCAATGTGTCTTTGATTCATAAAGTGAACTTCAAAACATTTTTCTTTGCATTGTTGTCATTTTTCTGCCCAAACAGAGGCATACTCACTGCAGATGTGGTGGATTAGTTATGAAAGAAGTTTTCTATTTGAAAACAAGTGAGATTTTAATGAAATCAGTAGATGGTCTGTACAATAGATATTGTATTAAATCAGAGCTGAAGCTTCACATTATTTGTGGTATTTAAATTTCAATGAATTGATTATGTATGAGAGTAAAATGACCAGTATTATGAATGTACCCAAAAAGTGATATGGAAGTGCTGTGCCAAAAGAGTGAAAAAAAACCATGTTCCCTTTATAGTCACTAGAGTTCAATAAAGCACCACTATTTCCCAGCTTTTAAAAGCTTTTTTATCACAATGGTTCATACCTCACATTCCCTGGAGCCTGATTTGTTATACGTGCAGGGTCCTGTTCCATTCAGCAACATCTCACTGGTTTCAGTGTTGGTAGGTTTATAATCTACATAAAATTCCTGTGTGGTTGGAGTCATTTGCTTCAGTGACTGTCTTTTTTTTTTCCTGTGCCTTCGCATGAGAGAGTGTTGCTGCAGCTGCTTCATACTGGCTGGGTAACGCTTCCATGACACATAGATTACCAGCAGGATCACAAGCACGGACAAAAAAAGGGCCACACTCCCTGCTATGATTTTATGAAAGGAGATGTGTTCTGTGTCGTGCTCGAGTTCTGAGCTGGATTCGGTGGCGCTGATGGTTGGGGGCAGAGGAGGCTTGCTGTCATGTTTAGGCCTGGTGAGTTTTGGTTTAAATGTTGGCTTTGGGGGAGCTCTTGCTAATTCAAACCTCTCTGTAGTACTTTTGCCACAGATGCTGTAGTTTTTCACTGCATCAATAACATTCACCCCTTGCAGCTCTTTGGGGCTGGCACAGATAATTGTATTTTCCCTCAGCCCTTTAAAACTTTTTAGCCAGTTTACCAGAGAGCAAATGTTTCTGCTGCATTCCCATATATTCCCAGCAAGGCTGATATCATTGAGGGATATCCAAGAATCCAAAATTTCTTGACCAATAAATGTGAGCTTGTTTGAATCCAGGTTGAGGCGCTGTAAATTGGGCACACACTGAAAAACACTAGGTCCACTGAAAGCTTCTATTTCATTGCCAGATAAATCAAGCCTTTGTAATGAGCTCCAGGTCCAGGACATAGTTTGTCCTATCACACTGATTTTATTCCACTGTAAATAAAGGTTTTGAAGGCTGACTAGTCTTGGAAAAAGTGCCAGGTTGAGCTTAGAAAACTGATTGTGCTCCAGGTGAAGCTCCTTCAACCTGATCATGCCTGCAAAGACATTCCTTGCTAAACTTCGGATGCGATTGTAACCCAGATCCAGAAGTTCAAGGTTCCTACAATCTTGGAATATTCGAACAGGGATGGTTCTGAGGGAATTGGATCGCAAATGTAAACTCAGCAGCTTCCTTAAGCCCCTGAACTGTTCAGATCCCAGAGACTGCAGCTGATTGTATGACAGATCCAAGTTACGGAGATTTGTCACAGGTCTGAAGGTATTATTAAGAAAATATGCGATTCTGTTGGAACTCAGGATCAACTCTTTTAGTCTGCGTATTCCATTGAAAGCATTTTCGTCAATATTGCTGATGTGGTTATGGTCTAGATACAGCCAGGTGAGCTGATTTAGACCTTTAAATTGATTATGTTTTAGTTTTTGGAGGCTGTTATAGCGAAGAGACAAACCTAAACAACCAGCAGATATAGTCAAGGGTATCTCTTGTAATTTCTGAGATTCACAATATACCATTTTTCCTTCACACCTACAGCTCTTAGGGCATCCTCGTTCAGCAGAAGAAAGCATTGTCAGTAATACAGTAGGGGCTATTACCAGGGCTACAGCTGATCCGCTCAGTAGCCTAATTACATTGAAACCTGGAAATAAAAACAACTTAGAAAAGTTATCCCCCCAAAAGATCAGTCATTTTTAAAATCATGCTTAGAATCTTTCTTTTAAAAATCATTTAAAAATTTTCTAGCTTGACAGCTACTTTGCACATTATTTTCTTTTACTCGGATTTTAAAAAATGTCTTTATAAATATTGTAAAATAGTTTAAATAAATGTAATCAATAGACATTTTAACTATGATCCTAAATCATATCAAGATAAGTCAATAGAACAATTAAAACAGGGTCTATGCAGAAGCTACAAGCTGTATATTTAAAAAAAAAATGAAAAACATACCCATCCTTTGTGTTGTTCAAAGGTCGTCCTTAGGTCTTTTGTTTTTGCTTAGGGTGCCACAAGCATGACAGTCCCTGTCAGCTGCACTGTTGTGAGTCAGGGCTTGCTGACACCCAGGAAGAAAAATTGGACCCCTTGGGAGATGGACTGATTTTGGAACATTATTCTTTGCCAGCCACGCAGAACACTCCAAGAATAAATAAATCCCAACACATCATTCACAGCAAAATGTCAGATTCTTCCTAGGTAATAGGATCTTCATGGATATTACGGTTTTGCATCTTTACAGTTAGAAACCTGGCTTTTAAAATCTCTCTTTATGTGAAAGCATGATAGATTCCTCCAAGCAACAATTAGCTATCTGAATTTACATATCTGTATTCCATAGTACAGCAGTTATTGTAGTTAGCACCCGATCCAGCTATGAAGCTGCTTTGGAGCACAGAATAACAGAATAACACTGTACAATGAACAAGCTCTGTTCACTTCTGCATACTGTCATTCTGAAAGCTCCTCCGACTGTTGCTTTGGTTTCAGTGAATGCAGTCTTATGTATAGCTGCCCCCAGTGGTGAAGAATATTATGGGCATGTGCAGAAATGTCTTTCTTTTATCTTGCAAATGAGTAAACTCTGCTGGGAAATGTGATTATTCTGGGTAACTAAATGAGAGTGGAGTGGTCAGCTTCAGTGTGAACTAACGCAAATTTCAGACTATTTCAAATCATCTGTCTCTTTTGATTCTGTCAAAGATTTTTAAAACACCCACACACACACTCTCACACACACAGTTTTCACAATAACTCACTACTTTTTAATGCAGCATCAACTACTTAGTGTGCCTGTATTCCAGCATTTTAACAAGGATAGACTATTTATATCATGACAAATATTTTTAGGCTATAATTTTGCCTTTTGCCTTTTTAAAAAAAATCACAGTGGAAAGGAGGTTGGGGATAAAAGTCTCAGGTTCATTTTATTTCATAACTTGCTATCACAATATTAACTATTTTAAACACAAGCTAGATTTAGTTAAAAACATAGTCCTGTGAGCAAACGAACCAAGTAGATTTGACATGGAATCTGGCCCCACTGATTTTGTCATATTAAGTAAATTCATGTTTAGGAAGGTTTTTAATGTGCATTTACTGTAATTAAAGAACTTTTAAAGCATATAACTTAATTTAAAAAACCCAGGAATAGATTTTTACTTCTGTACAATCTAAAGAACATAAAAATAAGGATATAAATACATTTGTGGCCAACTCTTATGTGTGAGACCAAGAATCCTCCATCCCTCCCCTTCCCCGCTGCATGGGATTAAGGAGCCTCCTCCTCCTGTGTGACCTGTTGGAGTGGAGCCTTCCTCTTTCCCGTTGCATGCTTGGTGCCAGGATATGATGGAATTATAGCACAGGGGTTGCTACTGAGATTCTCCCCGTCAAGGAAGAATGTGTCCAAAAGATGGTAGAGAGTAGGTGGAACAATGCTCAGTCCGCTGCAAGAGTTAGCCAGAGCAAAGAGTATACCACATCCTTTAAAGGCGTGGTGCTGATTGCATTCCCCCAATGGCAACTGGGGAGCTCTGAGCTCTTTGAGGCAGAATACCTTCAGTGATCCACTGGGGTACTGTGGCTCTGCATTTTGTGCCTTACTACAGGCTGTGGCCCCTTGTGATTTACAATCAGATGAAAGCATACAGCTTCATGTAACAAAATTCCTTCTGAAACGTACCACATTTTGAAATGTGATCAGTGCACTGGGAACTTTCTAACATTTCACATTGTAGTTCTAAGGAGAGCATGAAAACCCTGAGGTAGTTTTCTAACATGCCCCCTTATTAGGCATGGCTTTATCAGTAACTAATAACAAAAAACAATCAAACAGCATAAACTCCAACCAGAGCTTTATCCCCTGAGCTCGCTATCCCAAGCATTTTCCTCCAGCATCTGCTCTGTCCTCCTGCTTAGGGACCACTCCCATCTTTCTGGTTGAGTTCAGGAGTAGACTCAGCCACCAAAAGTAAGCAGAACTTCAGCAGCTTTTTTCATGATTCTAACGATTGCCAATAGGGTGAGCAAACAAAAGAGCCCTGCCACCCTGATATAGTCTGTTATTTTCACTTTATAAAGTAGAAAATAGTGATGAGGCATTGCTGAACAGAGCAAGTGTGGAACATGATGTTAATTGCTTATCAAGTTCAATTTTCTTAACTGAATCTTTTTTGAATTATACAAGCAGAAAAAGTGCCAGTATCTGGTAACCACTTTTTCTTCACTTGCATTTCTGTGTCTTCAGACAGCTGAACAGATTTTGTTTAAATTGTGCAACCAAAATCACTTCCAGCATAAGACCTTATATACCAAGTTTCAGCACAGCATAACATTTTTACAGCCAAATTATAAACTTTGAAAATCAAGAGGCTTTAACTGAAGTCCTGACTATATCTTAGCTATGAAAGCACCTGAGAATTTGTACATGATTGGCCTGCTTCACATCTCATTGGCACTTGTTATACAATGGTATATGGTGAAACTGATGTCAATGGAGTTACCTCCCAATTTACAAAACAGTGAGAAAAGAATTGAACCCAAACTTTTTGGTTGACTCTTGTTCTATACCCTGGTTTTCTTCACTTTTATGTAAAATCTCCCTTTGGTAATAACAATGATATATATGTTAGAGCGATTATTGCAATTTTGGGGCAGCTGAAATACAGCAGTGTCTTCATATAAGTACAATAACTCAAAATTTGATAAATTCATTGTGAATTTAATTTTATATTATTTATGCATTAGTGTACCTCAAGGTTGCTCCTGAATGTTGATGTTATTCATATTGGATTGTAAGTTATTTACTGTATTTTGTCAATCAATCTTCCATTCTGGTCCACTGGGAACAACAGTTCCAAGCAAGAGGAGACTGCAAGTAGCAGAAATCTTGAGGGCCACACACCAATTGGGTATTAGTGCTCAGATGGAATGTTTGTCACTTTTCTTTGTCTGGTAGGAAGGTGTCTCCTGAGATGTCCCAAAGTCCTGGAAGTTTGTCAGTTTGTTTTTGTGACTTTCTCAAGGATTTCAGGATTTCTGTTTTTGACATAGATTGTTATTCCACTCAAGCTGTGGAGGACAGTACGTCTTGCTAGTCATGAATTGTGCCTTAACAGCTACGCATCTACTCTTTGAGATTTAACTTTTTCTTCTAGGCTTTGTCTACATTGGGATAATGAAGTGTGACAGCAAATGTGCTAGCACATTGTTATACCTGACTTAGCACCTTGTTAAACCTGACTTAGCACCTAGTGTAGACAAAGATAGTCACATTTTAAAATGTGTTAGGAGTAGAGCTGGGTGAAAAACTTTTTTTTTTTTTTTACCAAACTGCCTCTATTGTTTTGATTCTTTCTCTGAACCAAATCCATCACTTCTAACTTGAGAGTGAAAGTGATCAAACTGCCATAGAATATGCTCTTTTGTGCTTTTTTTTTTTGCTGGATAATGTAAATGCTGCCATAAAAGATAATGGGGTCTAGACACCCTCAGTGACACAAGGGAATGCAAACTGTAGCCCCCACCATGTCCCTGAGCCAACAGGAATAGATACATTCCAGAACACATTCACCTCTGGGAAAGGACAGATCGAGCAACTCTGCCCTCCCAGATGCTTCATCCAGTGAATTTTCACTTCCTGCCTGGGCCAGCCCATGCCACTTTTGGGGCAGTGCTGGTTCACTGCAGGTTCTCAGTGGAGCAAGGTAGGTGGTTACCTTGCATGGCTGCAACACCCCTCAGGGAGGATGTTTCATCACCAGAGGCCCAGCAACCTGGTTTACACTAATGGAAGCTGGCATAGCCAAGGGGTGAATCAAGTACCTTATATTGTTTTGTGAAACCCAGTATCTGTAACCCCCATAGAGCTGGTTTGGAATTGGAGCAGTTTAGGAAGTACAATAAGAAAAGAAGTCCTTGCAATTTTTCAGGCTCATTAAAAACAGCTGGGACATGCAGCATCTGGCACCATTTTCTGTGGACATTTGGCAATAGAGGTAGGAAAGCAGCACGTGGAGTAAATGATTTGTGAGGCCCACAAGCGAGGGGAAGAAAGACAAATGAAGACAGTTACAAATATTTCCAGGACTACATCAGCATAGGGAATCAAGCGTTATCGGATTTTCCTCACCAAAATAACAGTAAATATTCCCCTGTGCCATCTTGGGCTTCCCATCTTTCACATATAGTGTTCTCTATGTAAGAGGTGGTCTTTTTTTGTTGAAACATTTGATCAGAATGAGTTTTTGGTAAAAATGTTTTTATTTTCTGTAAGGCCGCTAAGAAGTCCACAGGCTACGGGTTGCTTCAACTTCTGAAAAGCCACAATGATCCTTTCCCACTGCACTACCCTCATTTCTTACTGCACAAATCCCATAATGTAGGATTCTGGATTTAGAAGTTTTGTATCCAGAGATACAGTTGCTGTATCTATCAACACTTGCTTGTTTTTTAAACACACATACCTACCTGTTCAGAACTGTGGTTAACAAATATCCTCACATTACTCTCTTTGGATTCATGAAGTGGCCAAGTATGCCTTTTATGAGGCGATGTTTGGCAATAAGGAAGGCAGGAATCAAGAGGGTTGGCAATTGTAGTTTGTTCTAAATTGTACTGTAGTGTGTGATCACTGTCCAATTAAAGGTAGATAAGTCTAATAAGATGTGCTCATCATTTTTGGAGGCACTGATTAAATGAACCTGATGTTCTTTGAAGATAAGATTAGAACTGGTTAAGTACACCAAACAGGCTATAAACTCCCAACATAAACATCTGAGCATGGGAAAGTGAGACATACAGACAAGATTTGGCAAGAGCTGATAGGAAGAGGAAAAGGAACGTAGAGGAGGGTCAGCCGTTTAGGATAGAGTACAGGTGAGGCAGAGGGAGGAGGTGGGAAGGTTTAGGGTTCAGATGCAGGATGCAGGTGTATGGGGGATTCTACAGAGGATG